GAGCCGGCGTTCCGTCACGGGGGTAACGCTATACTTGAGCTCCTCATTTCGATCGCGAGTTCTAAAATCCAACAAGCAGGACAAGTGCTCAGTCCTGATCTCAAAACCACGCTCTATGCTCAACACATAGACGCCGATTAGATGCCTAAGACCCCTAGGGATAATCTGAGCAAGGGAGGCATTGTTTGCCGCTAGGAAACGGAGAAGGAATCCAAGCACTGGTCGAAGTAGCTCTCATACAGAGTGAAGTACCCCGAAGGCGGGGCATCAGCTCTATCAGTGGAATCAGGGACAACCAACACAATCTCCTCTGAAATCATGCACTTCTCTCGAAGGAGTTGCAGCGACTATGCATCCGAGAGGGTAGACCCTGGGGGATCCGGACGAATCGTCGCCTTTCTTTTCTTCTTAGTCGTCATCGTTTGATCAACCTCAACACACGTGTCTTCACCATCTCTCTCAACGCTACAAGCTCGTGAGTCAAGCGAAGAGGAAGAAAGCGATGATAGCAATGTATCAGCGTAACCAGGCGGAAATAGTGGATCCGCATCATTCAGAAAAATCTAGCCGCCAACATCTTCATGTATATACTAACCATGGTTAAGGTCTAAAAACCCATAAGCGAGAGAATTAAAATTCAATTATGGTCTAATCAGGATGGAATTGGCTTCAAATCAAGCAACTAATCAACATGATTTACAAAATCTAGAGCGAAGAGATTAGAGACATGAAGAAGCAAAACGTTCGCGGTTCATCAAGCAAGAGAGAAGCATTATCAAGACATTTACAAGATGTGCTATGTACTGAAACCCTATACAATGTATTATCATCAATGTAAATGAAAATTCAATCCTAGTATGCTCTAAACTCAATCCTATATGAAAAAGAAACAAAAAGATGCAGATGGAATGAGACTATATGCATTTTCTTTTTGTTTTTGAAAAATTTTAATGCAAAATGAATGTAATTCAAAGATGCAAGACACTAAGAATGTTGTTGGGGTAGGATTTCACCCGCTCGACGTTGATGTCCAAAGTTATGCAAGCGCAGCGCATAGATACAGAATCGCATCAACATACAGACATTATATGATTCTCCCAAGTCATTTCCTAACAAGAAGATGAGGTCTTTCGTCTTCCCTAAGTCTTCTCCGACCAAGAAGAAAGCTTTCTGAGTCATCTCGACTCGCAGCAGAAGTCGTGAATGCAGTGCCAGCAAAGTCACAGTGCTAGCGAGGTGCAGTGCCAGCGAGGCCAGCGAGGTGCAGAGCCAGCGAAGGCATTGTGACAGCGATGTCACACTACCAGCAATGACGCAGTGCCAACGATGACACTGGCCACCGAAGACATGCCAGAGTAACGACAAAGACCAGAAAGTTCCCGACACTAAAGCCCGGTCCAGTTACGAAGTCCACTTTGACACAACCGACGTGAAGAAAAGGAAATCCAAGAAGACTTAGGAAAGTTAACATTGTCTTTAGGAAATAGGTCTAGCCGACTTAGAGAGATATATATATCAATGTACAAACCCTTGAAAAAAGTATCCGCAACTTTATTCACAAAAGCATATACAGCAATAACAAACGTTTCTCTTTGCTCATCGTTTCATTCGTAGCTTAACCTAGAAATCTCTGTTTCCTCACGAAACCCTTACAAATCTAATTGTGCTAGTCTCGACTCCCACAAATGTGCAAAGAGAAAAGAGGCAAAAGAAATAAACTGTACATTAGTGACAATTA